TAGAGAGAGAGAGAGAGAGAGAGAGAGAGAGAGAGAGAGAGAGAGATTCATTTCATAAGTTCTGTGACTACAGAGAACCCTGACAACTGGGTTTGATTTGGTTTGCTTTTGTGTTTTCCAAATTTTTGAGTTACTTTGTTAAGGTATTTATTTGTGCTCTTTTTCATTCTTCTTTTTGATTTTTTTCTTTTGTTTTGTTTATGAAGACAGGATTTCTCTGTATAGTCTTGGCTGTCCTGAAACTCACTAAGTAGACTTGATCTCAATCTGCATGGCTCTGCCTGCGGAGTGCTGGGATTAAAGGTGTGTGCCCCTCTTTTTCATTTTTATTTTTTTATTACTTTAAAAATAATACCAATCAAAATTCCTACTTCCTGTCTTCCTCCCACTTCCCTCCTGCTCTCCCCCCATATCCTCTCCCCCACCCCCTCCAGTCCTAAGAGAGGGCAAGGCACCCTGCCCTGTGGGAAATCCAAGGCCCTCCCCACTACATCCAGGATGAGCAAGGTATGTATCCAAAGAGAATTGGATCCCAAAAAGCCAGTACAAGCAGTAGAGACAAATCCCAGTGCCATTGGCCCCTCAGTATGCCCCAACTGTCAACCACATTCAGAGGACCCAGTTTGATCCCATGATCGTTCATTCCCAGTCCAGCTGGAGTTGGTGGATGCCATCAGCTCAGACACTGTCTCAATGGGTGAATCCCTTGTGGCCCTGCTTTCCTTGCTCATATTCTCATTTTTAAATATAGGCACTAGGAGCTAAAGATTTCCCTACTAGTACTGCTTTCAATGTGTCCGAGAGGTTTTGTTGTGTTTTCATTTCCATTTATTTGAAGAAAAATTTTATTTCCTTGTTTTCTTCTTTGACCCAATCATGCTTCAAAAATGAGTTGTTTAGTTTCTATGAATTTGTATATTTACTAGAGATTTGTTTGTTGTCCATTTTAAAGTTTTATCTTGTGATCAGAGTGATTTCAATCTTTTTGATTTGTAAAGATTTGTTTTGTGTCTCAGGATGTGGTATGCTTTAGAAATGCTTCAATATGTTGCTGAATAAATCTGAATTCTTTGGTGTTTGAGAGGAGTATTCTGTAGATAATCATTAAGTCCATTTGGTGTTAATTAATTGGTCCAATTAATTCTGATGTTTCTCCATTTATATTTTTGTCTGGATGACCCATCTAGTGGAGAAACTGAGTATTGAAATCACCTACTATTACTAGATGGGTCCTAATCAGCGTCTTTAAATCAAGCAGTATAATATTTTTTGATAAAATTTGGTGAGCAGAATTTGGAGCACACATCTTTAGGAATTTAATGTCTTCTTGGTTAACTGTTACCTCGATTAGGATGAAGTGTCTCCATTTCCTTTGATTATTTTTACTTTCAAGTTTGAGTGTCTCGTGTCAGATGCTAGTGCAGAGACATCTGATTGCTTCCTGCTCCCATCTGATTAGAGCACTTTAGTGCCTATCTTTAAAGCTAAGACATATTCCTCGTAGAGAACCGATTTTCTGTCTTGCTCTATTCATTCAGGTTGCATCCTTTGCTTGGAGAATCCAGGCCACCGCCATTTAAAGTTATCAGCTGAAATGTATGCTAACTCTAGTTGTCCTGTTGTTGATTTGGGGTGGTGGTGTGTTCTTGGTGGTGCTCTGTGCTTTAATAATTATGGCTTCCTATATCTTCCCACAGTGTCTCTGCTATGCTTAGTCCTTTGTTCATTAGAAAATATTGTTTCTTGTTTCTTCCTTAGGCTTGAATTGTTGGTTGTAAACTTTTAAAATAATTGTTTATATAACAGAAGGCTTTTCTTTTAACTTTAATTACAGAGGGTAGTTTTGTTGGGTATATTATTGCAGGCTGGCAATCACAGACATTTAGGGCTTGGGATGCATTGTTCCAGGCTCTTCTGGCTTTCAGCATTTCTATTGCAAAATCTGCTGTTATTCTGTTAAGTTTCCATTTATATATGACTTGTATTTTTTCTCTTTGAACTTTTAGTACACTTTTTCTTGTTATGTCCACTTAGTGTTTTAATTACGATATGTTGGAGAGTTTCAAATATTGATAGTTTTGTTAGCAAAGGGTTCTCACGTGTTATGAACAGTCACAGAGTTTAGTGGAGTCATGAACGTGCACACAAACACTTGCAAACTAATTACTTGAAGTTCACGTTCTGTTCAAATTTGGCTGCACATCCAGAGACATTGATTTTATGGCATTTGCCACACAGGTTATGCCTGCAAACAAGGACACCCCCATTTCTTTTTAAAAAGCACTTAGTAGATTTTAAGATGTCTCTGAGTTTAGGAGACAATATTATTAAAACACATGATATAACATAGTCCTTGTTTGTAATATCAGATTTTAAAGACCAAGGTCAATCAAATGCCTGGGAACCAGTTTCCTTACAAAGCTGGAAATTAGCATTTCAATAAAAAGCAGGAAACATTTTCAAGGAATTGGAAAACTGAAGGTTAAAAATGCAAATGGCAGCAGAGTCCTGGGATAGAAGGCTGGATGGGAATGACGGGCAGTGCTGTGACCCATTGAACCAGACCTCCTACCAAAACCTAAAACTCATAGACTTGACCTGATTTACATCAAAGAAAATGGTAGAAATATGCTCTTGATTGTCTTAATTTGGCAAACATTAACAGAACCACGACCATTTGCCTGTGGATATGTTAGATACCAGGAACACAGGGGACGTGAACACATCAGTACCTGGGCTTTGGTAAAGGTACAAAAAAAATACAAGAAACTAGCCCTGACTTGACTCCTATATTGTTAGCAACTTAACATTCTGGAGTTGAGAAATTCAGCCAGTCAGTTGGCTTTTCAGAGCATGGAGGCCTGGGGTCAAGTTGGATTAGCAAGCACTCTGTGTACTCACACGCACACACACACACACACACACACAAGCACACACACAAATTAAACATTTCTAAAACAGATAAACCAATTCTATAAATTTTTGAATTTTTTAAGCTAAAACTCAGTTTGAAATGAAAAGACAGATTTCTCACTTCCAATGTGGTAATTAACTTAATAACAGGAATTAGTCTCCTAATGCTTAAAATAGAAATAGGTCATCAATTTAAAAAAAAAAAAAAAGGAGGGTAGGAAAGCTGTTTGTCTTAGAATTTGCCATTTAGTTCTGGAAAATGAAAAAGGTCAGAAAATATTTAACAGAGAAACTGATTCCATTATGTCTTAGGCAAATATTCCCAAAGACACACGGCCTGTGCCTATGGATGGTGACAGACAGGCAAGACTCTTCAGCCTGCTATGGGGATTACAGAGAGCTGAGATCCTGCAAGCATCACTCAGATCTGGGATTGTAATTTAGGGTCCACACTGGCTCTGTGGCCCTGTGGACTCTGCTTGGTTAATAAACACCTCTGAACACACCTTTCCCTGGCTTACCTGAATGAAGATGCTTGTAAAACGCAGACAAAGCACACAGCCCATAGCCAGGGCCTGGCAGTAACGCACAGAACTAGGATGGTTGTCTACACTGTGTGCTTGCTTGTCCACCCTCGGAGCCAATGTTGATCAGTCAAATGTTCTTTATTTGAACTGTGAGAGGGTTTTTTTTTCCCTTTAAGTCTCTATTTTCTCTAGTTGATTTTACTACCTGAATACCTCCCTACTAGATCAAAGGAAGGTTCTGTGGGTGTTTGTTTTTTAATTCTAAAGACACATTTATAATACTGTGACAGAATCTGCAAACCCAATGCATAATGGAGCTACTAACCCAGCTCACATAATAGAGTTCAGAAACAACTCTATAATCAAGTGACCCATATCCAATACCCATAGTGACTGCCTATGCCCCCCCCACAGAGGCAGGCTAGAGATTCCTTGTGGCATATGGACTCATACTGTTCACTGAAAACCTGAGAGGTACTTTTATGAAAAAAATAATTACATTTATTAATAAAATGGACAGTGAACTTGTCAACAGAATCTGAAGTAAATGCAGCAGGGCAATCACACATGTGGCAAATATTGAGTGTGCACACTACTCTTGTTTTTGCACACTACTCTTACACAACACAAGTGTGCAAACAAAAATTGGGTGGCATGCATACACTACTCATGAGAACATATTTGATATGTGGGTGACTGCTTTGGAATGGAACACATTCAACTCATCTATGATGAAGGGAAAAGGATTGTAAGAAAGTATTGGTCAGCCCTGTAAGAGGGCCGGGTGATACAGAAAGCCTCGCTACAGCACCAGCAGGAGATAATCACCAAAACAAGTTCTCAGAAGTCTCCTCAGAAGCACAGAGGGAGTTCTCCTTTCAATTTGATTTTCAAACGTATATGCATGTGTGCATGCATGTACATGTACATGCATGTGAAGGCGACTGTGGGCATTATGGGGAGGCTCATGCTACTGTGAGCATGGAGCAGGCAGGAGTGGGTTTCTTCCCTTCACCTTTATGTGGATTCCAGAGACTGAAACTCTGTGAGGCTTCTGCAATAGGTTATAAGCCATTCTCCAGCCACAACCATGTTTTGTGAGACAGGGATCTCTCATCCATTTGGAACTTGCCAGTTAGGCTAGGCCAGCTGGCCAGCAAGTCCCACCTACCTCTATTCTCAGCACTGGGATTTTAAGTGTTAAGCTAAGCTTTTTTTTTTTTTTTTTAAAAAAAAAAAAAAGGTTAAAGGTCCCTGTGCTGCTAGACGCACAAGTATCACTCGAGCCCCTGACTTAGATGTATTTAAAAGTGAAAAGGAAGAAGGTGAACCAGGTTGACATGTCACAGAGTCAGTAAATAAGCGAATACATGTCAGGGAGTCAGTTCAGTAGGAAAGTTAGGCAGTCTGCTTCATTCCAGAGACAGCACCAAACTATTTCCAAGTACCAGGTGGGGCCACATCATTAGAACACAAATAGTGTCTTCAGTGCTAAGGGCAAGTTCTAACAATGCCATAGTTACAAGGGGGAAATTACGAACCTTCTTCCTCAAACGCCAACATTCAGACTTCCTTAGAAGCAATGGAGCGTGTGCTACCACACACAGCTATATACGTTATCTCTACCGGCCACCTAGAACCACAGGTCGGTCACTCACATATGTTATTCAGGTGGTAGCAAAGGCCGAAATTAGTTCAATAAATGGGTACTACTTCTGTCTTTTTCAATGACGCTACCTAATATTCGCAGTTGGTAATTTTTTAAAATGGAACTGGTTTGGATTATATTATCGCGCAGGGCAAACCTCAAGCCATTCCAATCACAACAACCACAGGCCAGTTTACTAAGCAACTTAAAAACAGGCCCTAGGTAGTTCTTGTCCGTTACTGATGTATTTGTTAGTTGTAAGAAAATATCTTCCACATGTTGATAAAAATGAAGTTAAATTTTATACTAAAGCACTAGTCAACCAATATTATATGTATGTAGAAAAACCAAAAGCAAATGAGATCAGGAATCACTATGAAACACATTCACAATACTAGGACTTAAGACAATGTAAAAATGCAAGCAAATTCAGTAATCTTGGGAGAGTCCGCTCATATTGACATCAAATGATCTACTTTAAACAGGTAAGTGTGGGTCACTTTTCCGTCAGTCGACACATTCTCTTGCAATTTACCTGAAAGTACTGTGCTTTTCCATCTACTCCAGTGATGTTTCAGATGGACTGCAATTAACTTCAAAACTATTCAAGTCTCAGTATTATCACTCCACAGGGAATATAATGCAATACAGTCCAAAAGCAAAGCGCAGAAACGGCATTAAACACACATGCACGTTACTCCTAACTTTAACAGCCAGGGTAGTCAAGAGCTGAGTTACACTGACAGTCTCCACAGAAAATGGCACAAATGAACACCGCCCCTGCTGCTCAAGACACTGACTGCGGTGACAGGGGCAGCGGTTCACAGCCCATGACGTCACAGCAATGCAGCTATGAGACTCCTCAGCTATGCAGCTCCTCACTGAAATTATTGTATTTCACATAGCTCACAAAGCAGTCAGTAAATTTGTCTCCTGAATTTTTGTTTTACTTGGCTTGTTTACATCACTCACAGAAACAACCTTGTACACTACACAAATAAAGCAATGAAGCACAGACAGATTACACGAAAGTTTGAGGGTCATGGCAAGCATCCCTTCGTCCCCTCCCGCCGATTCTGAATCTAAAGACCACTTGTGGCCAATTGATTCTCATTCTACGCTTAATCTGCTCACACTGTTTCTTTGTAAACACCGAGTATTACACAGAACTCTGATTGATGCCTGTCACCGAATACATTCACTGCCTTTCATGGGCAAGCAAGGCTGAAGATTGTGACCGGAGAAGCACACACTCAAGGCACAGAGGGATTCAGCAGGTCACCACGTAGGCGAATCGCGACAGCAGCAGGCAGGGCATTACCTAGTTCACTGTCCAGCTCCTCGGTGTGTACCCCTTCTTCTCCAAAGGAAGAGCAGGAATGAGACAGAAAAGAGAGACAAATTCAGACACCAGCACCAAGAGAGAAACTCCCTCAGACAACAGCAGCAAACACCACTCCAGTGTCCTTACCTGAATTGTGGTTTGTTTCACTGGCTTGGCAACTAAACTCCTGACCTCAGTGTAAATCACAAAATGGTAAGAGCTGATATTGGCAAAATAATTATCCAGCTCATTTCCTTGCATGTCAGAATGTTATTTGATTGGTTGTAAAAGATGATAAATACCTTTGCGGCTCCCACGTTCTTAAGTGGGAAGGCACTTACTACAGACCTCCTCTGCAGCAAAGCTGTGAGACCCTTCAGTATCGGTCCTTTTAATCCTTTAATAATCCTCTCATCACAGAAGCAATTACACTCACAATTAAAGCGCTACTTAACTTAAAAGTAATACCGCTTGAAAAACAGACGGTGAGGTCAAAGTGAAAAAGGAGACTGTATAATGTGCCTTTCAGCAGGGGCTGGGAAGACCACCTGTGTCGTGGCGACGTGTACTAGGGGCGTGGTGCTGGAAGGCGACACTGCAGGCGATGAGGGCAGAGGTCACGCGTTGCTTTTTCGTCTGTTTATTTGTACAGAAGCTTTCTAAGTCAAGTGAGAGCGTGCTCAATTATTTCAGCCAGCAAAACAAGTCAAAACCCTTTCACTCTTGACCTCCTCTGGCCATCTATAAAACAAGTGGGTAACTACTGAGATGAGAACACAGCCCAGCACACCAAAGCCGTTCTGCAGCTAAAGTCTCCCCGGGGACAGAGAGCAGGTGGCTGCTGCCTATGATGGAAGGAGCTATATAAACCCACAGCCAAGGGGTCCAAGTCTCTCTCCACAGCGTTACACACGAGTGCTCAGAGCACTTTCTACATCATCTTAGGTACTACTCATTTCTCAGCTAGTCCTAGCAGCCAGTTTGACCTCAGGATCCCATCTCTCGGCCCTGGTGGAGTCTATAGACAGACTGCCAATGCCCACCTGGCATGAACAGTAAGTTTTGACTGACAGTCTTTTGTTTTTTGTTTTTGTGTTTAAATAGGTTGTCAGATTTAAACAAAATCATTTGCAAAAATACCCGTTTAGATATTACGTAATAATGTTTTGGGGGAGGGTTTGTTTATCCTCCCCCTCCCCGTGACTATGGGCCAGTCACTGTGCTAATGGCCTGTTAAATCAACACAGATACAATGACTCTTTTGGAAGAAGAGACATGTACAAAGCTAAAAAAAAAATCCAATTGAAATTAAGAGCATGCCTAATTCTCCAAGGTCATGGAAATAATGGCGCTATGATGTGAAGGGTGTACGAATGTCAACAAAAATGACTAGAATCGGAGCGTTGTGGGTGCTGGATGTGGTGCTGTTGCAGTCACTGACACACCTGCAGGGTTTACAATGGATGTGGTCCCACGAAAGACCCTCAGCATCTGGGAAACGTGAAAATATGCCAAGGAGGAGGAACGGTGCATCTAGTTGTCAGGCAGCGGCTCAGTGAGGCCTAGTGGGAGTGCAAAGCACAGGGCAGGGTTGAGCAGAGCAAGGACGGCTGGAAAAGCAGACGTACACCTGGCAGTTACTGAGCAACCAGAGAGCCATGACGGAGGACAGCGAAGACATCTTCACGCTGACACTGACAAACACTGCTGAGAGCAGCAGAAGGGAAGCACGGAGGTAGGAGACATGTGTGAACCGGCTGGGGATGGCACGGGCAGGGAAGAAAACAGCAAGTGGATCCAGAAGTGTTAGGAAGCATGGGAATCGAGCCGACTCATGCATCAGAAAGGGAGGGGAAAGTGGCAGGTCATTGGGATTCCGGAGTGTGGAGCCACTTGCTCTCAACTAGCACAGGGAACAACTAGCACAGGCTGGGGAAGGGTCAAGAGTTTGGTTCTAATTAGCCTGTGTCTGAAATCTCTCTGAGGCAGCCTACTGGGACAGCAACCAGGCAACTGAAAACACTGACCTGGCACTAAAGAAGCAAAGTCAAGACTTCTAATGGTACTAGACAAAGATCAATGACCAAAGGTAATTAATATACTGTGGGTCCTCACTCATTTGAGAAAGGCGACCGAAAGTGCAGCAACCTCAGACTATTTAAGGATGACGCTGCTAGGTTGCATTCTATGTGCAGGTGAAGCTGAGAGTAGAAAGCAATGCAGGCACAGTATGTGTAAGCCGTAGTGCCTGCATTGGTCTGTGTCATAACAGCAAACAGTAAGGCAGATCTGTGCACTTGCATGGGAAAACACAAACCTGCGTGTCATCATAAGATTACATGTTTATGGTGTCTGCAATACACGTCATTCTAAATGAATAAAATATATGATTCTAATGTTGAAGAGATAATTAGCAAATGAATTGCACTTGGCATGGATGTATGCTTGTGTTAAAGGAAATGCTGATAACGCAGAGTTGAAAATTTGCTAACAAAAACATTAACGCTTCTTAATGCATTTATTCCACAGCAATTTTTTCTCACTAAAAGGTTTTGCAATCTTCTGTCATCTATAAAATTATAGTACTATGTATTCTCACACATTCTCAATGTACTTATAATGGATACGAACCCTAAAGACCCTATGTGATTAAAATGGCTAACCTGCCTTCAGACTCATCTCTTGTCAAAGAGATCAAACTTGTTCTATCAAGTTGTACTAAAGTACATTCTAAAGAATGCATGTGAGGATCCTTGAAAATTGGTCACCTACGTAGTATATTAAACTGAATCCTCAAACACTCAGACAGCCGTTACCCCCAGTGTATGAGAAACAGCTCTGACCATACCTGGCTCATTCCTTCTTCAGCTACGGAAACAAGGAACCAAAATAAAATGAGTGCCTGCATTGTGCCTCTTAAATGATAAAAATACACATTTCCATTTGAACTTGTTCCAACAAACACAAACATGCAAATCTGTATTTATTTTCTATAATCTGCAGCTATAGGCAACAGGAAACTCTGAGTACAAGGCTTTTAAGTGTATGATACTTCAAAACACTGGCTTGCATTTTCCAAATATCACATATATGTAACAATTCTGTACTGTACTTCAAGACAAATTAATACAGCTTTGTTATCGCAAAGGGAAAAATGTATTCCACAATTAATTATACTATAAATTCAAGTGCCAGAACTGTATAGCGAGCAGCAAGACAAGCCGTTTATCTTTTACTATGTCCCCAACAGCAAGTAATTTTGGTCAAACTTGGGTTAGATTCCAGTGCTAAAGAGGACATACTTGCTCTGCCTCATTTTTTTTTTCCTGATTTGGAAACTCTAAATAATCCTTTTCAATGGAAACTTGTATAGTCAGAAGGAACATTTGGGAGATTAAGAAGCAATTTTAACACCTGCCTCTTGGAGGAACAGTCTTTCAAAAATTACATCTGTATTTTAAGCTACAAGGATATTCCTAACATGTCAAGATCTTCCCATTGCCCCCAAACTGGAGAAACAAGAAATATGAAAAAAGGACCAAGAAAATCTCCTGATTTCTTCCCTGAGGACTTTTATAACATAGGGTTAGGGTCTAGTACATTCGTATGTGTGGAAAATCAAACTATCTTTGGTTTCTTTATTCCTGGAGTTTCTCTAGTCTTTTCCAAGTTCGAGGCAGAGGATGTGTTTGCTTCTACTTCTAACAACTACATTGGAATGTACATGTTTTGAACTATTCTTTTGAAAGAATTCTATTTACATCACTCTTGCATTCTAAACCACAGTGTGCTTCTTAAGAACTGAGCCGCCCAAACCACTTCAATGTTAAAAACTGATTGTGAGCACTCTTTAGAAAATAAGCACATGTAATCAAACCTCCAACTTGCTGATCCTAAAACCTCTTAGTCCTTACCATCATCTTCACATTCTTCCAGAGGCTTCTGCTGCTTGTTCAGGCACCGAGGGTCTAACCATGATGTTGTCTTTGTGTTATGGCTGAGATCCAGAGACAAAAACAAGAAATTTATTTAAGAAGCGAGAACAACAACAAAGCACAAAGACAGAGGAATCCCAAACTCTTGCATATCTGTTCATGAACCAATGAAAAGACGCATTCCAACAGTATAGCCAAACCACCAGAGGGCTGGAGGTTGGAATGACAATGGCCTAGGGTGAGTCTTAGAAGGACATTTCCCTTTCTAAGATATAATCAATGAATTACTGAATGCTTAAAATAAAATACCAGCTTTCTTTTTGAAAAAGATACAAACAACAGGCTTTTCTTACAGTCTACTGCTGTCTAGACTTATTAATCAGTCTTCGCATTTGTCAAGGAATAAATTTTAATTTAGTTTATGTTTGTCTATAGCTTCAATTTAGAACACTGGGATTCATGAACAAGGCTGCTATGTACCTATTCTATCACGTGAGGCCTTTCCTGACAATGTGGAAGCCCTGGATCACACAGCACGTCAAACCTACTCATACGATCACTCGCCACCACATCCTAACTTAAGTACTTATTTATCAGGGTGGGGCACATTCGTGCCATGGGAGATGTGGGGTCTGAGGACAGCTTGCAGGAGTCAGTTCTCCTCTTCCATTATCAGGGTGCCAAGTAATGAATTCAGTTGTCATTTTGGGGGGAAACACCCTGACTGGAAAATTACCTTGCTGGTCTTTAACTTGTGCTTTAGAAAGCTCAAAGGCAACCCAAATTATCTACTACAAGTAGAATCAGGCTGCTAAGAACAAAAGAGAGAAAGAGTAACAGAGATGGTGTCCAAATGCCGTCTGGAAAGTATGTGCCAACCCTAGAGAAAAGGTCTCAGCTGTGACTGGGGCCCTTTGGAGAGCTGAAATATCCCAAGGGTATTGCAATGGAAATGTCACAGGCAAAGTGAGAAGAAGATGCCTTTGTGCTTCCCCGAGTTGATCAAGACACTGGAGGTCAAAGTTCTGCTTGGGTCTCATTCACTGAGCAACTAAGTGGGGGAGATGGGAACCCCAAGTTCAAGAGTTCTGGCTCACCACTAGCAATGAAAACAAGAAATGGAGAGAGAGAGGGGAAAAAATATTTGAAGCTTTGGCATGAATCCTCTTATCCCAAGCTTAAAGTTCGGGCTGGGATTTTAGACTCAAATCTTACTAACTGTTAAAGAGAAAATTATGCCACTTCAGCCATGTCAAATAACAACAACAACAACAACAACAACAACAAATTTAAACTAATACAGCAGTTCCCATCATCACTTCAGCCTGCCAGGCCACTTGCAGACATGAGAACTTCATTTCATATATTAGTTTATTTAGTTCTCATAATAACCCTGTGGGGAAAGTAAGGAGCAGCAAAGTTACTATCCCCATTTTACAGAAGATAAAAATGGGAATGAATACAAGACGAACTCTGCCAAAGGGCACTGCGGACACATGGCAGAGATGGAACTGAAACCCGAGGAGCTGTACAGTTGACTCTGTGGCCTGCACTCATCCACACAATGATGCAGCTACACTACACTGGTCACTGCGGGGAGACAAGAGTGTGCACCACTTCCGAAACAAGCTTTGTCTTAGTTATGTTCTCAGGCTGTGATAAAACATTGTGACCAAAAACAATTAGGGGAGGAAAGGGTTTATTTCATCTTGCAGCTTGTCATCCATTATCCAGGGAAGTCAGAGCAGGGGCTTGGTGAAGTTACTGATGCAGAGGCAATGGAGCAGGGCTACTGCTACTGATTACTGGCCTGCTCACTTTGCTTTCTTAAATAACTCAGGACAAGTTGCCCAGGGTACTACCACCTCTCTGGGCTGACCCCACCCACAGCAACCACTAACCAAGAAAATGCTCCACGTGCTTACCTACAGGCAATTTGATGGGGACATTTTTCTCAATTGAGTTTCTTTTTACTGAATATGCCTAGGTTTGTGTCACATTGACAGAAACCAATAGGACAACTAATCCTTTATTGACATATAAACATGTAATTTATCCATAGTCTATCTTTCTTATTCATTCCCAAGACCTTATATTAACATCAATGTCACATATAACACATATAAAACATTCCAACTTTTAAAAATTCCAGTCTTTAAAAGTTCACTCTCTTTAAAATACTCAAAGCCATTTTCAAAGTTCAAGTTCTCTCCAAAATATCCTAACTCTCTCAACTGTGAATGCCTGTAAAAAAGTAGGCTACATACTTATTTCAAAAAAGGAAGAGTCAAAGCCCAGTTACCATCAGATCAAAGCAAAAGCAAACTCTAACACTATAAATAACTCGTTCAATGTTTGGGAGGCATAATCTTTTGGGCTTCACAGGGGCTTAATAAGCAACTCCACCTCTCTGGCTCTAGCATGCAGAACCCACAGAGTACATCTCACAGGCTCAGATCAGCTCCGCTCTACAGCTAGTGCCATCCTTGGTGGCTGTTCCATAGTACTGGGGTTTCCAGAACGCTGGGAGACAACAATTACTTCTCTGGCCTCTCTTCAGGGACTCTGACTCTGCCACATGATGCCCAGTCTCAGTTTCTCTCCCTGACTCCTTAAATGCCGGGTCTTCTAGTACAACTGAGGCTACACCATCACCATAACCTCTCCTGGCCTCCCACAGTGTCAAATCTCAGCGGCTCTCCATGATCACATACCTTCAAACCACTCAGGAGACTCTTACACTTTATCAATTTCAACTGCCATCTGAGGTATAGTGTTGGCCTTCTCTGAACGACAGCTTCTGTGTGCTGACCCCAAGGAAATACTTCCAGACTTCTGATTCTCAATGATGCTGGCCTCTTCCTAAACACCACTAATTTCTCAGCTCCAGAATTAATTATCCCATTAAAGCAAAGGTTTCACTTTGGGAGTGCTGGTCTATTGTTAATTACAGTCAATTCTTCAGCCCTAGCAGACCAGGACCATAGGATTTTTATTGAAATTATCAAAAGGCCACAACAGAGTCTATAAGGGACTCTCAAGACAACTTCTAAGATTTTACAAGTTAGGCTTCCATTATCACAACAAAACTCAGCATTCATATATTCCAATATTCATAAATCCAACACTCACATATCCCAACATTCATATAGCCAACATGCATATATACAACATTCATATAGTCAACATTCATATATCCCAACATTCATATATCCAACATTTATATAGCCAACATTCATATATTCCAACATTCATATATTCAAAGCTCCCACAAAACAGCCCACTGAGCTCTGAGCTCTTAATAACTTTTCCAGTCCAAAGTTCTCAAGTCCTTTCATAATCCTTTCTGTCTGTCTCACCAATGTCTCACACCTGGTTCCAATTTATGTCTTAGTTACCTAAAGCATGAATACAAGCAATTTGAGAGAAAAAGGGCTTATTTCCTCTTAAAGCTTCGGAGCAGGATCTCGAGGCAGGAACCCATATGAAGGTTATGGAGGGATGCTGCATACTTCCAAATATGTCTAGGTTTGTGACAAGTTCACAAAAACCAACAGGCACAACTTTTTAGTTTGAAATAACTGCAGATCTTCATGTCACGACAAAGAAGAAATAACAAGAAAGACTACACCTTTACCTAGATACCATCAAAGGCAACACCTTTGCAAGCTGGGCACTGGGACAGTTAGGACACGTGTTAATTATGAATATAGAAATTTCATAATTCCTTTTTGTGTTATTAAGATTATGTGTGTGGATGTTTGTCCCCGACCCCCCCCCCCGTATTTTTTCTTTTTAAAGATAGGATCTCACAATGCAGGCTGGCCTCAAGCTCGACAGTCTCCTGAGAGCTGGGTTTTCCGGGGTACAGCATGTTGGCTATTGGATTTGTTCTTTAGTCGGTTAATATGGCATACTATTCCAATTAAATTTTCTTTATGTTTTCATTTTTTAATTTGTAATGTCGTTGAGTTTTTTGTTCCTTTTGTTTTTCAGTAGTAGGATTTGAACTTGTGTGTAGGCATACATGGCAGGCCTTCTTTAGTATCCTTCATAGGGTAACACTGCCATAAAAACATTGTGGAGAAATGGTGCTCATTCTTCTACAACAGAATACTCCATGTGAAACCACGTGAGCCTAAGATTTCTTTTCCAGGAGTTTAAAACTATAAACTCATTTTCCTAATAGTTAAGGGCTCCTTAAAAGATCCCATGTCATACTAGAGCTACAGGCTGCGTCTCTGGAAACACTGGTCCAACTGATGTGGTTTATTAAATGTGTATATGTACACCCGTGGCCACATTCTCTTAATAGCTTGTAGCATCTTCAGGACTAGTGATGATTCCCAGCTTGATTAACAGTGGCAAATTTCCATCTTTCATTCTTTGTCTTATAGATGCTCTTCAGGTCTATTAAATCTTTGCAGAATTAGCCATGTCAGGCATTTGCTTCAGGGTTCAGTTCCAATGGTTGCTGTTCTTTACTCTCCCCTGTGATCTGCTTGACAGTCTACGGATGTGTGTGTGTGTGGGTGTGTGCATGTGTGCTGAGATTTATTATTTTTAGTTTACATGTTTAAGTGTTACCCTTTATGCACATGCACCACATATATGCAGTTATCTGTCAAAGTCATCAGATGACGCCAGACCCTGAAATGGGGTCACAACCTTTGTGAGGCACCATGTGGGTGCCGGGAATGGAGTCAGGTCCTCTGCAAGGACAGCCAGGGTCCTTAGCTAGAAGGCATCCCTGACTTTGAGTTTGACTTACTCTTCTTTTTCTAGGTTCTTGAAATAAAAGCTTAGACTACAAACCAGAGCCTTCTCTTTTTTATAAATGTGCTTAATACTTCACATCTACCTTTGTCACTCACTGGGTTTGTTCCGCTCTGATAGGCAGTATTTTCATTTAATTTATTTTTTTCCTCAGGCTGAGCACTAAGGAGACCAAGGAAAGATTACAAGTTTGAGGTCAGGATAGTTACAGAGAAAGACTTGGCCACAAAATTGTACAAAAGCAAATAATTTCTTCTGTGAATACTGGTTTGAATTATTGGTTCTT